TCGATATGCTCCGAAATTTTACGTGACTAGTGACAACCCTCATATACCAAAATTTATCGTCCATGGTCTCATATTGTTCCCACAAAGTATGCACAGAGTTGTTTTAGCTGCTGTACAGTAATATGTTTCTATCAGGAAATGTGTTTAATAAAGTTAAGTGGCTAGAACGTATAATTCCCAACAATTTACACATATAGCTCAAGCATCCTTTATGAACCCCAAAAAGAGATCACAAACATTTTTATACATACGTATAACCTTTGGCACCAGTAAAAAAAATAACTAGCAGCAACTATGTTAGATCATCTATGTAGGTGTGTGTATAGGTAAGAAGAGTTGTGTGGGTGTGTTGTATTTCTTATACGTGATTATAGACCTTTACCCTTATGGTAGTCCCTGCTGCCATATGGCATCACAAAAATTGTGAAGTTCCAGGTTGCTGATCTGACTTTCTGCCTCATTTGCAGGGTCTCAATTGTTTCTCGTATTACTGACAACTCAACATTCATATATGGGTTTCTCACTTTTGATCTTTTTCTTCATTTTTGTATTTCTTTGTTTATTATTATTAGTGTTATTGTTATTATTATTTAATTTTTAATATAAATTTTATTTACTATGAACTAATCATTATTATTATTATTACATTTTTGCCCTCCAGGCCCCGATGTGGGTCAGTGACCTGTGCCCGGGTGGGGTAATCCCCGTAAAAAAAAATACTCGTGTGTGTGTGTATATATATATATATATATATATATATATATATATATATATATATATATATATATATATATATATATATATATATATATATATATATATATATATTGAATCTTATTCGCCACTTATCAGCTTACTAGCCGTTTGGGCACTCTAACCAGTGTTAGTACCAATAAATGTCCTCGGGATGAAAATGAGTGACCGTTTTAAAATGTGCAAGTACAGTATGTGTGTGTGATAATGTTTACAGATATGAACATACTGTATATACCTGTAATGTGCTTGTGAGCGTATATGTCAGTGTTTGTCAATTAGTGAATGAAAGATAGAGAACGTTAAAGTGTAGAGGGTGGAGGAGAAGAGGAAGGGGGGTGGAAGCAAGTGAGTATAGGAAGGAGGATGGATGACCTTGGTCTAGGTGGTGGTGGGGAAGAACCACACCACGGCGTGTTTCCCAGACGTAATAGCCACTAATACACACACACACACCTTACCTCCTTCTCTTTACAAATCTCTCCCTCATCCCTAAGTTCATCCATTCATGATCAAATTATCGTGTTATTAAATTTATTCTCTTTCTTGTCCTTCCGTTTACCTTGAGTACAGTGCACCTGTATGTCATCTGGGTATCTTGTGAACGTGATAACACGGAAAATTGACATAGACTTCAATTTAACGTGATATGTGGAATATAGCCTAATACTATTTCGAAGACTCACACATGTCCCCAGGTAGGGTCGTCCTCTACACTGATGGCTCTGTTGACCCCGCTACAGGTAGGGCCGGGGCTGGTGTCTACATCTCCCGTCCTGACCGCCCCTGAGCCTATCAAACTCTCTCTCAGAGTTTCTGATGGGGCATCCACCACTCAGGCTGAACCGATAGCCCTCCTTGCTGAGGAAGAAGCCTGTGGTTTCTGTCTCGTGCTTGTCTGCTGCGAATCCAGGTCTGCTCTTGACGGGATCGCATTTGGATCAGGGGAAAATAAGGACCTCATCCTCCGAATACAAGGGTTAACATCAACACTTCAGGATGTAGGCCGTCCTGTGACATTCCTATGGATACCCAGTCATGTTGATATCTTGTGGAATGAGGAAGCAGATGGCCTTGCCAAGACTGGCCGTAAGAAGGCCACACCTGACTACGATGCTCCTCGAATACTTTTACAGCTTGGGACCTAAATTCACCGCAAACAGAGAGAAGCGCGGGAAGGAGCCATCCCCCTGGACTCCCCGCCCACCTGGTACGATATCCTCCATAAACTCGCTGACCTCTAGTACATCTATGGGAAAGGGTCGCAAAAAAGGGACGTGATTGCTGCCCGTATCATCACCGGTTATGCCTTTGCTTGGGAGATTGGTATCCCAGCCTACCCTGAGATAATGCGCTTGTGCATTATGCAGAAGACCCGACAGCCGCACCCTTGTCCACTACCTCCTATGATGTCCCCACACACAATGCTTCTGTGACACCTGCTGGACCAACACTCCACGACCCCCTGACGGAGACACGATGATCCTCCCCATACTGGCCAGATATTATGTAAATAATATTGATGATGTGTTGAAGGAATATCCTTCCTTCCTTAGGCTTTAGTAAGCCCCTTTATAATATTTATATATACTTGTGACACTTGCCAGATGCTTCTGGTGTTATTGCAGAGGGGTACCTAGTACCACACTAGGACCCGTGGTTCCTCTAACAAGGAATAAAATAATTAAATTGAATTTAATTGACTGAAACATTACTAATAGTCAGTATTTTTCCTCTATAGTCTGGGGTTACAATACGATAAATATATCTTAGGTGATACTGTTACCAATGCACAGGACAACAAAACAACCAATCTGTCCTTATCCTTAAATGTACACCACAAGGAGCCACTTCACCCCTTCTTCCACTAGAACAGTGTTTTTCAAACTTTTTTTACTGCGACCCACAGCCAGAACAACAATTTGAATTGCGACCCATTAAACCTAAGTGTAATGATATGAAATGAGTAAATCAAAGACAAACACTGTTCACAATTTTCCTTTATTTAGCATCGACAAAATTCATGTAAATTTCTCATGATCCATTTATATTTGAATTATATGTATCCAATTGTATGAAAATAAAAATATTCTGATTTATTTTTGCGACCCAATTTATTTATTTCGCGACCCACTGAAGGGTCGGGACCCATAGTTTGAAAACCCCTGCACTAGACCACCCTTACCACCTCCTCCGGGCTGCCCCCACCACTCACCCCTTCCTCCCAGGTCGCCCTCACCACTCACCACCTCCTCCAGGCTGCCCTCACCTCCTCCCCCAGGCTGCCCTTACCACTCACCCCTTCCTCCCAGGCTGCCCTCACCACTCACCCCTACCTCCAGGCTGACCTCATCACTCACCTCCCTCCTCCCAGTCTGCCCCCACCACTCACCCATTCCTCCCAGGCTGCCCTCACCCCTAACCCAAGTCGCCCCCACCACTCGCCTTCCTCCGGGCTGACCTCACCACTGCCCCTTCCTGGCTGACTCACCACTGCTCCTTCCTCCGGGCTGACCTCACCACTGCCCTTCCTCCGGCTGACCTCACCACTGCCTTCCTCCGGCTGACCTCACCACTCGCTCCTTCCTCCGGGCTGACCTCACCACTCGCCTCCTGACCTCACCACTGCCCTTCCTCCGGGCTGACCTCACCACTGCCCCTCCCTCACCACCGCCCCCTCCTCCGCCTCACCACCTCACTCACCACTCTCCTTCCTTGACCTCACCACTCCCTCCGGCTGACCACCACTCACCTCCGGGCTGACCTCACCACTCGCCCCTTCCTCCGGGCTGACCTCACCACTGCCTCCCTCCGGGCTGACCTCACCACCGCCTCCTTCCTCCGGCTGACCACTGCCTCCTCCGGCTGACCTCACCACTGCCCCTTCCTCCGGGCTGACCTCACCACTCGCGGCTGACCTCCCCTCCGGGCTGACCTCACCACTCACCTCAAAGTCGCCCCCACCACTCACCCCTACCTCCGGGCTGACCTCACCACTCACCCCTTCCTCCGGGCTGTCCTCACCACTCACCCCTACCTCAAAGTCGCCCCCACCACTCACCTCTACCTCCAAGCCACCCCAACCCCAGGATTCCCCAACCATTTACTCCTTCCTGCAAGTCACCTTCACTACCCCATGCCACTCAAATATTTTTTGGCTGATACTCTATGCCATCATCCCTTCAATATATTGCTCCACCTTTCTATTGCAGTGAAGCAAGCACATCTCCCATAAACACCATCTTTATTCTCCTCATTAACTTATACAGTACACCCATCTCGGGGGAACCTCTCCTTATCGACAATTTACATCATCTCCACCATTCAAAACACTTATAACCCTAGCAATTACTAATCCTCTCAGATAACTTATTTTTTAGCTTGAATTTGATATAATTTGCCCTCTTCACCTCGAGGCTTGCATGTTACCGGTTAAGGCTATATTCTAACTCTCTAATCACATTTCTGGATTTCAGTCTCCATTTCACAGAACAACACTCCCAAGTGTAATATCCGAATCCCTTCAACCACCGTCAACATTTAATTTTTCACAATTTTTTTTATTTACAAAACAAACATTCAAATGTCATATTCTTTCCTCTCACACACCATTACCTTACTCTTCATGTGCAGTCACGATACAAAAGAAGTTCGCTCCCCGTGGCGAGGTTGAGTCTCCGAACTGACTTACCCTGACTGTAGTGGGCGTGCCGTTTTCTTATTTGGGGTCGATACTGCTTCAGTTTAGGAGACCCAGGGAGTGCCTGCACTTCTAACTGCATATCCTGTCAAGCCATTCACCATCCTTTGCAGTTCTTGGTCATTCTCTGCAAAAAGTTTTGTATCTTCTACTTAAAAGACATGTTACCAGTGTCACATTCCACCTTTTCTCCTGACCCAACCATTCTTGCCTTCACTTCCCACCCCATTATTCCCGTGATATACACAATCTGGCCTTAAATTTCTTTATTAAGTCTTCCATTTAATTATGTACTTTACTACTCCTAAAAAAGGTTTCATCTCCATTCAGCTTGTAATAATCCATAAGGAGGGCAGAAAACAGGCAATGACACCTTGGAGGCAAGAATTGATGCATGGCACTGAACTACATGGGCTGGGGGATAAAACAACAATATTATACTGTATACTATTCAAAGACCAAGATGGACATTCTTTAACTGAGGTGGTCCTTTGTTATCATAACCTGAATAGTTGGGTCAACTATGTAATATGAAATAAAAATTCAGTTGTATAAGTGATTAATTTATTACAATTTACAAACTTGTACTCCAATCTCCCCCCCCCCAAAATCTTTGTCTGCCTCGCAATATGACCATAACCGGATTCTCTAAAGAACTTGAGAATTTTCAAATATTTATCTCAACAGCAAGAGAACACAACCAAAATCATGGAAAGGTATACATGGCTAACTGTAGCAACTTATTATTCTCATTGCATAAACAATGAAAATACAAAATATACACTTTAATAAATTTAAAATAAAAAGGTACACAACTGTATAATTGCAAATTAAAACATTTAAGTTACAACGATAAACATTTATTATATAATTATTACTATATAAACATGTGAATAAAATTTTCTATCAGTTTAATATTGAACATCTTATCTTTCTGAAGATGAGAAGACACCCAAAACAATATAACTGAAGAACTTAATCATTTAGAAGTATTGCCACCAATCAGTTCATTTATTGTAGTGACCCCTTGTTTACCCAACACAACCTTTAATATGAAACACAACCAAATATCTTTGGTTTGCACAATAAAATGCCCCTCTTGATAGCTGACAATATAAGATATATTCTGCTGCTTCAGATAACAGCAAGATATAGGCCTACAGGCTGTGCTGGGTAAGATGGAAACTGGTGCCACTGTGAAGTAAATTTATCAGCTATGCACACTCCATCATGTAAGATTTGCCTAAAAGACCAGTCTGATACAGTACTTGTCTGGAAACAAACTTCACGCAGTCGTTGTCGAAGGATATGGACCATGTATCGGCAGAATGATAAACAAGAACATTGGCATACCAACACAAGCTTGCTAAGAATAATCCATCCATTTATTGCAAAGGGGGAAAAAAAAGTTTCTTAAGCAATGATTAATTCTTCTATAAACCCACCTAAAAATTGCCAAAGGGCTAAGGTTGCTCTGATGTACTGTAGTCTTCACTGATTGGCTCTGTGACATGGCCATTTTGTGGCAAAGTTAAGGCCTCCCGAGTGGCTGTTGTGTCTTGTTGAAGGTCTAAGGTTGGTGTTGCTGACATACGATCACCCAGGACTCCCTGTATGCGCTTTGTCATGCCAACAAGAAGGGGGCGCTTACTATCTGGACCACAAAGGTCAGTGTCACCCAACAAGCGTTTCACTCCAGCACCTTTCATCTTGAGCATGTTGTTGATAACCCTCAAATCCTGTAAAATGTAACCATACATAATTTAAAGAATATATATTACTGAATTAACCTGCAAATAAATCAAGCCTTCCAATATCCCGAGGCTGGGGTTAAATATCTTGCTGGATATTAATTTTTGTATATAATTGACACTATGGTGTACAGAAGAATGCAACAAAAACATTTGCCAGTGTGCTAAAAATTATGGGTTTCCTTGTTTGAAATTACCAGTGGCAAACAGTAAGCATAAACAGAGAAATTAAATATTCATTGAAGATCACCCATTAATAATCAGTGCAAATAGTTTCAAACAAGTTTACTGGATACGGAAGATGCAAAACTACGAAATTATAAGCAGTAATAAGTTATTATTAGAATTACCTTAGCTGGACTCCGGTTGAAAAAGTATGGGAGGGGCTTCCGTGGTGACATTGCTGTGCTACCCTTTACTGGACTGAGGGAATTAATGAACACCGAATGATTACTGGAAATCCTTCGACGTGGAGAGACTGGGGTGTGACGCACAACAGGAAGTGGTGACAGTGGAGGAAGATCACCCTGAGAGAGAAAAATGCTTTTAAAAAATAAAATAAAATAAACAAGTATCAATTATTATGCAAACACAATGCACAGTATATTTACTATTCACAGGTAGACACAACATTACATGCATCACTAATCATACCTCCTGGGCTGCCCGGAACTTGAGCGCAAATGCCTTCATTTGTTGCACATATACTTGGTTGTAGAATAAGATGAGATCACCACGCTCCTCTGAATCAAAGCTAGCCGAGGTTCCTGTCATTTGACTTGGTGTGGGTGGAGGTGCATTTCCTTGTTGCTGACTAGAATCAGCTGAAAAATGTATTCTTTCAGTAACAATATTACAAAAAGGCTAGAATATTTGTAATGTTCTATACAGTGCAAAGAGGACACTACAACATTCATAATCAAGCAATAAGTATGTTAGCTTGATTCTAACCACCCAACATTATATGGTGGGAGGGGAAGGGGGAGGTTGTCGATTTGTAGATCAAGAAATAGCCCTCTGATAAATGATAATTTATCTAAGGGGAACAGCTCCAATGAAAAACAAAAATGTCGTTATATTTTTTTCTTCTTAAGTATTTCAAAATTTGAAAAACAAATTCAGTTTTCATTTTTAAATCAAAGCACAAGACAATTATTTTTTCTTTGTAACTGTGAATTTTCATAAAACAATTCTTTGTAAATTGAGGTCTGCCTGTACTAATACCTCAAAAACACATTCTTGGCACTTATGCCCCATATGAAGGCAATTTTAGGCTTAAAAACCGAGAACTTTCCCTTTTATGTTTTTTAAGTTATACACTGTAGTTGAACCAACATCGTATATTTCACACAGCTTATGAATAGAAACACTAACACAATTCAGATTTCAAAGTGCCATCATTCTCCTACAATCACAACATAACTTATTCCTCAAATTCACACACAGACAGAGACTCATCATTGAAACTGCCATGCAACCAGTCACTAAGCCAACTGCCTGATTGTCCAATTTCTCATTTACTCTCATGTAATACTGTATGTGGAAAATTTAATACAAATTTATTCTACATTGAACTTAAATTTCAAATTCAGAATACTCGTATCTTTTGTAAAATAGGTTTTTGGTTGACGTACTTTACTATACACTACCAATAGCACTTATGTCGTTCCTACATATAATATACAACGAAGTGCATAAATGAGGGATACAGCAAATACCTCACCTTCAGATTTCATGGATGAATGTGAAGCTTTGGATCTTGATATCAACACACTACGATACACATGTGATGCAGCTTGAGGTTGATTCCTGTAATGTTTCATAATTTCTTGGAAGATACGGTCATTTCCTGTGACCTTACAAGTAATGTATATAGCACACATTACCATCTGATCCATGTGACGATCACGCATTAGCTCTGTGTAGTGGATAATTGAATGCTCAAAGCAAGTCCAAATCTTTTTTCTCAGGTCTTTATCTGTTATATCTAATCTATCACACAATTCTCGTAGTCTCATATTTGCCAAGGTGTAGAACTGTTGGGAAGAATTATAAAAGGTTAAATAAATAAAGAAGAGGAACATCAGAGGAACTATAAATGTATTGAGTGTGTTTTTTAATGCAATCAGCTAATGCTTCAGAACATCCTTATAGCAGAGCCAAAAGGGACAAAGTTCTACAGTGACATTAATTCATTCATCATAATAATAATAATTACAAAAATTAATTTACTAAAACAACAAAGTCTAAAATACTTAACACAAAGAAAAAAAGTGCAAATGCTAAGCTAAACACACAAAGGTATAAAAGAATTAAATAATACTGTAGCACGTTTTTCTTTATTCCGTACTGAAAGAGAGCTTCCATGATGGATTAGTGTCTCATTGCTGGTCTTGCAAAGAACTAAAAATTCCACGGATTGACCTTTAGGCCCTGATTTAGTAAACTTCTTTTCTACATAACCATGAAGAGCTTTGGCTGGAGGAGTGTCCAGATCAATTTAAACCTTTACTTTATTGTCATAATGTGGATGACATTAATCTTCGGATCACAAAACCATTTACAGCACCATTATTTCTAAAATACCTTAATATACCGTACAGTAAAATAATGAAGGAGTTGGAGAGAGAAAGGGAAAGTGACTCACCTTTCTATAAAACAAAGCTAAAGAACCATGTCTCTTTGGTTTGTCTTTTTTCTTGTCTACATTTGGTGTGTCAGCTATTCTCTCAGTTGGATTTTCTGTGTTGGCCTCTGGAGTGCCTGTTGTTCCTTGAGAATTTGTTGGTACTGTGTATAATGTTGTTACTCCATTCTCCTTCAACTGGAAGAAAATAAATGCAATACTTTACTGGTATATATAAATGGCTACCTTTCCAATTCTTTCACATGTGCTTAGATACCAATAGCCATCAATAGTATACTTTTACCCTGTATAACTTCACGTTTTTGAAAAGAAAAAGTTATTACCTGAACAGTGATGCGACTTGGTGACTTGTGAACGGCGGAGGGAGATGAAGTGGTGGTGATCACAGTAGATACAGCAGGCAACCGATTACCACCAGGTCGAGAAAAAGTAAGCGTAGGAGGAGGATCAAGTGACCCAACTGACGTAGAAGATGGAAAGAGAGTCCTTCTGGCAGATGACTGTCCCACGGGGGACTGAAATCTTTCTGAGATCGTGGACAAAGGTGAAAGCTGAAGATCTGAAAAACAAATTAATAAAGTGAAATAAAAAAAATGTCATGCTATACACTGTACAGTATTGTATATCAGGTGAAATCAAGAGAAAACAAACACTGATTATTCAATCTTATTCATATAAGAACTATGTTCCATTTTGATATTTCACTTCCACAAGACCCCAGTATTATTTGGGCACAAGAGGAATTAAATTAGGTGGTAGAAATGGCAAATGAATACAACCAACTTCGAGTGACTTGTTGGCTCTCTGGCATTCATTTTATCTGGCAATATCATAATAAAAGTATCTGCAGAAAGGGTTAATAAAGGTCTTGCACATTTGATTATAATGTACTAATTGATCAACCATTCAGGATAAGGTTGTAACTGTAAGAACAGGGAGTCAGGTAATCAATAACTAAAATGTCATGCTGATTCAAGTAATGAAAAATGGCATATAAAACACCATTTCAAATTAAAACACAACATAAAAAGGGGGATTCTTAAACACCTATCAGTCAAAATTGGTTAAGAAAAACTTACTGTTTGGAGTAGCCTTATCATTGACTAGTTTTGAAGCTGGAGACATAGGATTTAAAGATAAGCTTATAGAAGGAGTGACTGGGTTCATCTCTGTCTCCAACTGATCAGAGAAATTCACATCCTGGCATGAGGGAATGTCCATATTGCCACTTTGGATGATCTGCCATAGAGGTGATTCTGCCTTCCATGCTAGAGAGTCTAAGATCTGCTCCTCTATCTGTCAGTGAAAGTGAAAATAAACAAACGAATTAATAACCCACTATAACTGATAAATACTTTATGTCCTCCTCCTCCAACATGTCTTTCAAGATTCCTTTGGCAGTGTTATCCTCTCATTTATGTAACACCTCACTCAGGGCTTCCACTCCTCTGATGGCTCTTGCATTAAATACTCTTATATATTAGTGCATTTTTTCCCAGCTTAGAAAAGATGCCCCACCCCCTCCTCAAGAGTTACAGCTGATTGGCTGTTGCAAATCTGTTCAATATTGTCCTGAAGTAATGATGTATTTCTAAATGAGTATATTCATAATTGTTGGGATGACCGTTTCTGGTGAGAAAGATACTTAGGTAAATTATATAAAGATACTTACATTTATTATTTCAAACAGGAGCATGGAGGAAGTTTATCAGAAATCATATACATGAATTAACTGTTAAACTCTGGTAACAAATTTACGCTTTTGGAGGACGCATTTAATATATACAGGTGCTCCTCTACTTACGAACGAGTTACGTTCCTGAGGCTTGTTTGTAAGTCCAACTTTACTCTTGTAGATATCAAACAATGTAAAAAATGAAAAGATTATGGATATTTAGTACAGCTATACCCTTTAATACAGCCTTAAAACCTGGCTCACTCTTCTCCTCTTAGGTAATGTTTGTTCAATCTGGAGTTTTCTTCAAAATAATCCAGTCTCATCCACATTAAACACCTGTTCTAGCAGGTAACCCCATTCCCCCCCTCAGTGATTATGTTTGTATCTCTGAAAGTTTGTAAGTTGAAAGTTCTTAAGTAGAGTAGTACTTGTACTTATTTTTACCCACAATAAGTCATACTAAGACAAATTACGTATCAGTAAAATTACATTATGCAAAAACTAACATTTTAAATGATCAGAATCACATTGAAATATTACACGGCCCCTGAAAATTGGTTGATGAGTGTGACAGACTTGGTCGCTCCAGCGAACAGCCATCAGCAGAGGCAGGAAAATATGTTGTTCTCAGTCATATTTCCCGCTTCTGCTGATGGTCGTGTAATATTTCAATGTGATTCTGATCTTTTAAAATGTTGTTTTTACATAATGTAGTATTACTGATACATAATTTGTCTTAGTATGCCTTAGTGTGGGTAAAAATTAGTATATATTAAATGCGTCCTCCGAAAGCGTGAATTTGCTACCCGAGTTTAACAGTTAATTCATGTACAAGACTTCTGATAAACTTCCCGCGTGCTTATGTTTGAAATAATAAATGTAAGTATCTTTATAGAATTTAGATAAATATCTTTCTCGTCAGAAACGGTCATCCCAACGATTATGAATAAACTCATTTAGAAATACATCATTACTTCAGGACAAATTTGGAAACCAGCCAATCAGCTGTAACTCTTGAGGAGGGGGCGGGGCATCTTTTCTCAGCTGGAAAAAAAACGTGCTATAGTTTCTCTAATGATATCACACCACCATAATTCTTCTTTCTTTAACCAAGTTATTCCCTTAGTAGTAGTAGTAGTAGTAGTGGTAGTGGTAGCAGAAAAAAAATCTGGTTTTCTCGCTCTGCAGAATATATTCGTCTATTACAATATTCTCACTCCTAGCCACCCAAATACTACTACTAACACATTACCTCTGAGATATAAACTGTGGGATACAACTGACAACAAGCCATTATACACTTGATGGTCCAAAAATGTATACTTATTTACTATTAATGTGTGTACTCTTTGAAGTTTCAACTCAACTGCTCATCTGCAGTGACTTTCCACTCAAACTACAACTTACAGTCTACAAAGTACAGCATGTAGGCTACTTGGTTAGGTGTATAAGCTGAATACAAGGTCATACAGTATTTTGAGACTTGGTTTTGATGGGAGTAATTGGAGAGAGAGGCAATTGACGAGTTAAAAAAAGGGGGGGCTTGGATTATACGATATCAGAGATGATGCTAAATGTCTCTCCAGTTCTGCCAAGAGTCATCTACAACAACCACTGACAATGAAGAAAACTACAAAACACAGAAAATTAAGCATATAGTCAACAAGCTCCAACATATAGTACTCACCCCTTTAAGATGCTTTACCAATTCTCTAGACAGCTGATTGTCAGACTGTTTCTCCGACCGTATGACAGGTTCAATAATTCTGATGAAGAAGTAAGGCTCTACACGTCCAACCTGTAAATGTGAGTTAAGTTAATTTATAACAAAAACTAAACAGTTTATTGAGATATTTTAAATCATCCAAATATAGCACAAAAGAAGCAAATTGTCTGATTATGTGTGCCAATGACGTACCTTTAGAGACCAGGGAAACCTTCTAGGATCATTATAGGACTTGAGTACTATTTCTAGGCAGCAAGTAAACAACGTTCGATGAAATAAATCCTCTTTTAGAATTGCCTGTAAAGAAAATTGCACCTGTTTAAACTATACTGTACAACTTCTATGGACCAGACCTGAAAGAAAACTGATTTAAGTGTCACAACCAAGGATGAAGTGATCATATTCGAATACATGCTATTAGAAATCCAAGTACAGTACAGTAGGCCCTCCAAATTTGCATACATACAAATAAATAATAATGGAAAAATACTCTCACAAATAATCAAAAACAAATGTATATAAAAATGTTGAGTCTACCCTCAAGTCAACTCCGTGCTAGATTAATAAGAAAGCACAGAGTGGACTTGAGGGTAGACTCGACCTTTTTAATACTAAATTTGTTTCCGAAAATTTGTGAGAGGATTTCCCCATTATTACTTAGTTATATGTATTTTGTATGAATGTACAGTAGTGTCTAAACACACACACACATAACAGGTAAAGGAAATTACTGTCTCTAGAACAAACGTCTCCCTGTCCCGGCCTCACAATGACAGCAACTTTAAAACTACCGGCAGACATTCTTGGGTACATCCACGGTGTCATCCGCAAATAATAGAGGACTGCAAAATAAAAACCTGTGAATTATCCGGGCGTACTGTACTGTATGTGCATTCCTATTTGAATCTTTGGGAAAAGTATTCAAATAGGATAATATGACTATTTTTAATTGTTTTATTTATCAAAATAACTATACACTTAGCTGCTCTCCCTGAGCAAATCACAATATGTCATTCTATGAATTTCACCGGGAAACATAAGGTGTAGGACTGCAATGATTATTCCAAGAACATAAAATCCTTACCATGAGATCAACACCTCTCCTTCTTTCATCCACTAAGATGTGTTCCAAAAAGGTGTAGTACAGCATCTGGCCCATCTGTAGCCTCATTTTTGCAAAGTCTATACTGGGACCATTGTAGTCTTCTGTGGCTTGGGTGTAAAGGCGACAGAACTCCTCACTTAATTCTGCTACCAGTGATGTAATCTTTTCCTCGGGGTTAATCTTGCACGTTCTGGGAAAAGAAGTAAAATTTAATAAGGAATTAAAAAGACTCAACTCTTGATGGTTGCCATAAACAAGTTAAGTCCTCATTCCATAAAGATCCCCTCTGAGTGGCCACCTCTCCCTCACTCAGCTCATTTATATCACCATGGGGTTGATTCATAACTACAGTACTTCGAGTTGAATTGCTAAGGTCTGTGCTTTAACCCATACACAAAACAAGTGCTATGTAAATAAGCATTGTGGGAAGCTTAGATACCAAATAGACACTGCATTCTCAATACCCAAATGGTGTTTACATTAGCTGGTCTCTCCCTTATTCATGTCTCTTGTGTACCATTTTAACTATGTATCATTTACTGTGCCAGCATAAGCAGTACAGTGACCCCTCGGTTAACGAACTCAATCCGTTCCAGAAGATCGTTCGTTAACCGAAAACATTGTTTCAATGGGTTTTTTGGGTAATTGGTTCCAGCTCACCAAAAATTTCCTAGATTCAACAAAAATGGTAGAAAAGTTCACTTACTTTGAGGTGTGTATGTAGAAGGCTCCTGGATGATGATGATGGGATTTAGAATGGGGGTGGAGGAGAAGGAAGAAGAGAAGGCATTGGGGTGGAAGAGAAGTCACCCCATGGCGCCATTTCACCCATAAAATTTTAGCTCTCTTGGTGTAATTCAAGATTATTTTCTTTAAATCAACACTGCACTGCATTATATATTGTCAATATGTAAAATATATTTCAAAATGACCAATAATTTGCTTGGAAACACAGAAAAAAGCATTTAGTTGAAGAGAGTCTCAAGCAAGATGTTACCTCCAGTGAAAACAGAGAGAGACTAACGCCTGTTTGCTGTGTTAAGAGGCTGGATGCCGTGCATTAAACTAGTCACTTTACCTTCAATTATGTTCAATAATTGTTAAAATGACTAAAAAATTGAATATTAAACTTTTAAAATTATTGAATAGTATAAACTTCTTGATATTTACTAAAATAGTAAGGAATTTAAGCCCTAGAACCGATTAATGTATTGGCGGACTGATACTAAAGCTGGTTGCCCGTTCAGTGCAAGCGAAAACATGTTGAGGTCGGTTCGTAAGAAATTCGTTAACCGAATTGAAGATCCTAATGGAAGGCAGTTCGTTAACCGAGGCGTTCGTTAAACGAGGGGTCACTGTACTGTATGATGAAGGAGCACACAACTGTTAAACTGAAAAATCATTCTGGTTAGTAAAATATGTCCAGGAGAGTAAAGTGACAGGTACAGGTATTAGTAGTGGTACATAAATAAACAGGACCACAACAAAAAGATGGAGATATATTTTACAAAATGGGTTACCTAAGGCATAGGAAGCCCTGTACTGAATGGTCAATTCATATTCATACATAAATAAATAGATACTGTACTTACTTGAATACTTCAAGAAGTTCTTCACTAGCATTATTTTTTCGACCTGCAAGAAGGGCATAAAGTTTTTGTAGGCCTGAGGTGACCACTGTCAGAGGATTGTTGCCAATGGTTGGACGGTCTATAGTATAACGACGACCAGTGATTGGTGTTTGTGGCACTAAATGATGGTCACCTTCAAATGACTGCAAAACAAAAAATAAAATAAAATATTCCTTTCAAATAATTTTTTTTCCTTAATTAATTTCATTATACTTTTGATACACTCTTAAATAAGACCATTGGACACACCTGCACTAAGTTCCTTCTAGCCTGCCTGATTGATCCTGAATCCAAGGGAGAGTCCTGATGGGTCGCGTGAGTTGATGGAGGAGATGTTCCTGTTGCACCTTTTACTACTTCATCTTCGTTCAAGAACATTCTCTCGTCAAACTCTCCATAACTTAACAAGTACTCTTCGTAGGCATTTTTCACTTCTTTCAAATTATGATCAAAATTTGCTTGTTCTAGCAGGCCAGTGCCTTCTACACCACCCTTCAGCACCTGTCAAGAAACAAATACAAAGATGAAGTTTACAATTGTAAACCATATTATCAATATCACCACACAATGCTAATTAGATGGTGGTTCAACTACCAGGTCAAACTGTGTTTTTCCAAAGGTACAGTGATTCCCTGCAGTACTGTCTCAACAGTTTTACATTTAATTATCCAAATTACAGAGAGCTATTGTCTGTTACCAGGTAAATTGATGGTGACTCCTTCAAGTCTATGGATTAGTAGATAACATGGAACCATAAATTTGCCAAAACTTACAAAAGTGGAGTCCCCTACTTCCAGTATAAGCTGAAAATATGAACTACAGTACTGTATATGGGGCAAACACATGTTTGTAAATGGGAACATTAACCTTAATGTAAATTTCACATACTGTATTTTAATCTAAAACACAGTGATTTCACAATGTATGCATTAACATTTCAAATGTTATACACAGCAGATACTAATGAATTACAGTGAAACCTTTCTTTTCATCACGCAGTTCTTATGAGTGGAATATGGTTGTCATTGTGTGGAGTCGAGTAGAAGTTAAAATATGTTATTCTTATTACTATGATTAAAAACAAATAAAGGCTGGCTCTCAATATAATGGTTGATTTTTTGGCCACAAGCTATGTTTTCAAGTCACTTTCCTCTCTTATTCTGATAGTTACACCATGCACCATTTTATCTCTAAGTTATAGAAGCTCAATAGACCCAAAGAATATTTCTACATATTCAACACATTATAAACAGTAAATAACAATAAAGAATTATGAATACTGTATTCCACCACCAACAACCTCCCTCACTCAGTTAATCCAATGTAACAAAATACGATGGGAAATTCCACAAGAGAAATGAGCTTCGATGATGTGCCGAGTGGTGGTATATTAAACTTCTTCCTACACATCAACATGGAAGTTTCGTATTTTTGGCATTAAACTTTTATTTCCCCGAGTTATTACGTGTATGCCTGAATTCTGACCACAGGGTGTTAGTTTAAGCAAGAATTCACTCTACTGTGCTATATATAGTAAATAGATTAGACAATGACACTCAACTGATATGTTTCTGTACACTCTCCAACACGGTTTTATGCCGGGGCGCTCCTGCTTAACAATTTTTCAAGGTACTGGATATTTGGACCCAAATTCTGGAACAGGGTGGTAATATCGACAATATTTACCTATATTTTGCCAAGGCTTTCGAAAGTGTACCCCACGAAAGACTGAAAATTAAACTGGAAGGGTCCAGAATTCAGGGAAATGTCCTAGCAGGGATATACTTTCTCCATGACTGCATGCATTTTTTTTTTACGGGGATTAGCCCACCCGAGCAAATGTCACTGACCCACATAGGGGCCTGGGGGCAAAAATGTAGTAGTAGTAGTAGTAATAACAACAATAATACATTGTATAAAAATAATAATTATACACAATTAAAAATAGAATAAAATAATAATGATACAGGTAACAATAATAATAATAACAATAACACTGTAATAGTAATAACAAAACTATAAAGTGGGGTACCACAGGGCAGTGTATTGGGTCAGCTGTTATTTGTTTGCTTCATAAATGACCAGCCTGACGCTGTACATTCCGTCATACAAATGTTTGTGGATGAGACAAAGTTATTTAAGGAAATTAAGAACCAAGCAGACTGTGAAGAGCTGCAGAAGGATCTCAGTGAGCTTCAAGAATGTTCGAAGAAATGACTGTTAAGATTCAATGTCACGAAGTGTAAGAGGCTGCACCTGGGACATACCAACGGTAAGGAGGCGTATCATATGTCCCAACGGGATGAAGAAACAGCATTAATTGAGACAATGTGAAAAAGACCTAGGTGTGCATGTTGACAATGAGATGAAGTTCTCGGGCTATTGAGAGAAGAAGGTAAATCAGGCAATTAAATTATAAGGTCTTATAAGGTCGTTCAGATATCTAAGCGGTCCATCCCTCGTAACAATCTTCATGAGTGAAGTGCTTCCCTGTCTGGTCCCCGACATATGCTAGGGACTGTCAGTTGAGTTAAAATGTCCAAAGGAGGGCCACCAGACTGGTGCCTGCACTACAACAGCTCAGCTACCCTGAGAGATTAGAGCGCCTGAAATTGCCTAGCTTATATTATAGACGGGCAAGGGGAGACCTAATTGAGGTGTATGAACATCTCAAAGGGCACTACTCAGTCGAGTGCCCTTACCTGGAGCTGGCGGACTCTCGCCCCGCAAGGGGTTACAGTTCAAGACTGAAGCCGCAAGCCCACGAAACTGTGAGGGGTAAGTGAGAGTTGCGAACTCTTGGAACAATCTGCCAGTGTTGTGAAGGCACCGAATGTGAGCTCTTTCAAGACCAGACTAGACAAGCACTGGAGCAGGCTCAGATACATTCAGGAGCTAGTGCATACTGGGGTACCCAATACTTGCCAACAGTGCGTAACAGAGACGTGACCGATCGCCCAAGCGGCTAACAAGTCGATCAGTGGTGAAGTGGATAAAAGTTAAGAGTAAAGTAAAAGTAATACAGTGGTCCCTCGATTAACGAACACAGTTGGTTCCACAGAGTCGGTTGTTAACCGAAAATTTTGTTACCTGAATCCATTATTTCAATGGGATATTGGGTAATTGGTTCCAACTCAGAAAAAATATACATACACAGTACTGTATACCGGTAATAGAATTAACAAAACATTAAATATAAACCAAATACAGTACTGTACTGTACTGTACAGTATAGTATACTGTACAATAATAAATAAAAAACAATAGAATACTAAATTTTAACTTGCTTTGAGGTGTGTATATCGTATTCCCGGCAGCTTTGTTTACATATTAAACAGCTGATTGTAGAGGCAGTCGATGATGACATGCCATATTCTTTACAGAGTACATTGGTTCGAATGCCTTCTTCATGTTTCATAATAATTTCTGCACTGTATATTATCAATATGTTAACTGAATTTCAGACTGACCAATAATTTTAATGTAAAAATGCAAAAATATTCATGAGACCAACAAACTTGATGTTCACTCCACTGTAAACAAAGTTAAACTGAGAAGTGTTGTTGGGTGATTCAATCAGCTGATGGGTGCACAGAAACCGTTCCCTGTAGTGTATATATTATCAATATGTTAACTAAATTTCAGAATGACCAATAATTTTAATATAAAAAATGCAAAAATATTCAAGACACCAACTTTCTTGAGATTTACTCCACTGGAAATGAATGTAAACATAGAACCAATTACTGTATTGGCGGACTAGCCGATCAGCTGATGCACACAACAAAGCGTGTTTCTCCTAAGGCTTTCGTTAATCGAAGTTTTGTTCGTTAATGGTGTATGTATATTCTGTATTATGTATGCTGTATTATATATTATGTATGTATATGATGTATGTGCTCCATTTATATATATTATTTATTTAGCCTAGCTAGTAGCGTGTGGCAATGTATTTATCAATGTCCCACATGCTTAATTAATGTGCATGGCGACGTATGGAAGCTGTTAATGTCTCACTTGCCATACGTCGTCTATAGAGCAGTTGACAAGCAGACAGGTCGGAGAGCACTACTCCCTCTGTGTACATATCTCTTATCCAGTAAATCGAACCTACAAAATCTATACATGTGTTTGTGTTCGCTCCTGTATATTGAACTTATTACCCAGAACGTGAACAAATGGAACTGAAAATCCTATTGAGAGCTAATTCGTTAAACAAAATTTTGTTAATTGAACCGTTCGTTAATTGAGGGACCACTGTACAGTAAATATAAACCAAACATACACATCACTCATCCACATCATCTGTGTGTAGTTTTGTGAAATTCCATTACTGGAGGATTTATTTTTCCTAACACATGTATCAATTGCTATATGTCCACTAGCCTCTATCCGATCCAAGATTAGAGAGGAAAAAAAAAGGGGGGGGGGGGGAGATGATCCCCTCTGTCTTGAGGAGAACAAAAGAAATAAGAAACTGATCATTTATGCTTCCTTCACAGTTTGACAAAATTGTTTACTACCATCACAATATACAGTATACTTAACATTTATCAAAACAATACACTGTAACTCCATTTATGATATAGTGTATAGTACTCAATGGTCTCGTGTTGCTTCCAGTCCAGTACACATTACCTCCTTATTTCTGTACAATATTTCTCATTCTTTGCATTCAATTCACTCCACATCTGCTCTTGATGTGTTATTTCTATCAGTCCTAGTTTGTCCACATCTTTTTGCATCTAAGTAACAACAATATGAACACAAAATGGTAAAGGTGTCTTAATAAAATATACTGGTATTTTAGTAATCCTACCATTATGTAGAGTAAACAGTAATTTACATGCAAACACTGACCTTTTTCTCTATGAGATCTCTGATGTGTTTATTCCAGTAGTATTCCCGGACAACTTTGGTTTCTACAAGAACACCTTCAAATTTTTCACAGAGATAATCCATTATTGACACTGGCCATGATGACAACTCACTTCCTGATTCACTGTTCAATAAGTCTTTTGGTAATCCTGAAAATAAAAGCTCAAATCAGAGTTTGTACAGTATTTTCATAAAATATGTCATGATTTAACACACACACACACATATATATACCGTATATATATAGTGACCATTTCAAAGAGTAAGCACAAACTATCCTTTCATTCACTCACTCTTACTGATGAAAATGATGTTTTGCTGTGGCATTCCCTTATCTCACAAGGCCCCAAGATACACAGAGTACTATCTGGTTTACCCATGCAACTTTCAAAATACTGTACTAGTACTGTATCATTTATGAGTAGCATATACATATCTGAAAACCATGCAATATCACACTATGATCATTTAGGTGCATCACTGTCACCTGGATGTCCACACATGTCCATATTTTAACACATCTTTCCATCTTCTCTCTCCCTCCTACCATTCATCTCTGGATAAAAAAAAAAAAACTCCCATTTTTCCATTATGCCCATGCCACCTCAGCACAATCCTGGTTAGTTTTCTGTTAGACTTTTTAATCTTTGGCACATTCTCTCTCTATCCATATGCAGACACAACTTCTAGATACAGTAACAGAAAAACCTCACTTCCTTGATTATAAATACTTAAACACCTCACTCCCTACTTTCTATCACTAGCCAACAGTAAAAATTTCTCTACATCTCCCCATTTCTATTTATTTTCATCAATATGAATTACAATCACAAGTAACATTATCCTACACATTCCAAACCCATTCAGTGTGTGTGTGTGTATTATTCATTTTAGGGATACTGCAAAATAGCAAAAACTTCTACATATCTTTGCTCAAAATGTAAATTGATCTGTAAATATGAAGGGATGATCATGAAAAACAAAATATAACTAAAATCATTACTAATCAAGCTAACCTAATATAAGGCACAGTTTACCACATAACTAATCTCCATTACATTACAAAACACGTACCATCCTGAAAAACTCGGTACCTGATAGCACTTTACGGCCTATCTTATATATTCACTCGAAAAAGACTTTTTCTATTAGGATGAAGAGTGGCTGGGCAAGTGCCTATATCCTAAATCTTGGCATTCAGCAGCTAGTGAGTAATCTGAACCCCTAAGGAGGATGGTTGCCCACGAAAGGGTAATTTCACTTTCAGCAAGCATTGTATTCCGTTTCAATCTCTGAGATCCTTTCCTACTAAACCCCAAAGTGGCTAGAACCACAAGCAGGTCCCTCCTCTCACTATACACTTTCACTCTTGCAGTTGTAACTTCTCCACAAACTGCACTCCTGGTGTTTATCCCCCCTCATTTACAGTGTGTTCTTCACCCAATCCTTCCATCTCTTCCTTGGTCTGGCCTTCTCACTCCAACCATCCACTTCTGAATTGAATTGTACAATATATTTCACCAATATTTCACTCTCATTCTCTCAAACTGTTTATTTAAATTCATCATCACCTGTTCAGTATATTCAATAAATACACATCACACATACCTTGGCAAGTCGGATTGATGAGATCTTTACGGTTGGAGAGCACCACATTTGCATAAATAAGATCAATAGAAGCTAGAAGTAATGAATAACAGCTAACAAGATCCTGGGGAATACTTGGATATTTCCCTGAAAGAAAGAAAACTGGTCAGAGCAAGATAATAATTCAAAACAGATACAATTAAAAAAAAATTAAATAAATAAATAAATAAACAAATAAAATATTAAGTAAAAAAATTTAAAAAAATACATTAAACACTACAGTAAACCTAATATAAATATCCACAAGACAGGTAAAATAATTATACAATTCACACATGATGACAAAGATGCTATCTGTCAACATTGCCTAAATGATTATTATAAGGATGATTGTATATTACAGGATACCCAACTACAGTACACTGGCAAATACCTAAATTGTTGCAGAGGTCCAGAAAAAATCAAATGCAAATGACCAAAAAACCAGTTTTGGTACCACATAAAATTTTCTGACAGAATATTCCTATGCAATGCAAAGGTAAAATTACATGACAATGTTTGCAATTCATTATCAGTGCCTAGCAGATTTCTCAATAATCATTTCATCCCTACCTAGCCTAACCTAACCTAAACAAACTTTAACAACTATGTATGTACCTACCCTTTATTAGGATATACAATGTCCAACAGAAACGAAAGATTTCAGTAGAGTTACAAGGAGGCCTCCGTTGTTTACGTGACCGTGGGGGACGAGGTAAGTCATTTGCAGGATCTTTGAACAAGTCTCGGAAGATAGGTTTGTACTTTTTGAAAATGTTGTTGGACACAGCAAAGTTCCGCTCCAACAGTTCTACTCTTCGACAGAAACCTTCATCAAAGTGTGACATAGCCAGCCAGGCTTTCATTTTCTTTATGAATTCTGTCAACCTATCAGAAGAAATAAGGAAAAAATATTAGAACATACAATCACAATAGACATGGAGACCACTAAAAACTTATCTGATCACAATAAAAACACTTCAGACAAATAATCACAATGAAATCATCACAGATGAACTTTTGAATACTTACGGGAGGTTGCAGTGCTGCAACATACGAGTTAGGGATACACAATTGCCCTGGATCATGTTCCCAGGGCGTCCTCCTACCGTAGGGACAGACCTTCGCCTGCATGCTGCATACAGTGCACACGCCAACCATGGTAGTTGCACACCCTAAAAATTTAACAAATTACTGAGGTGAAACTTTATTAAAAATAATAACTACCATATGTATTCCATGGAAAAGACATACTGTACTGCACAGGTATTGTGGTTAACAACTATGGCCAACCATGACCCCTAAAGATAAATCTCCAAGAAAGAAATGCTAAGACAAGGACTTGTCAGTTTGGCACCAATGAAGTGCCTGCCATATCCCTATACAAAACACTACAATACAGCGCATCTGCTCGAATGTTCATCCAGCAACCTGCTTTATCCGATCATGTACAGATGTGTAAATGCTGCACTGTGCATAATGTATTCACAGAAAAGATATGGAGGAGCCCCATTAATGTCACCACATGATGTAAGTCCCACTAATTTACCAGCCCATGAAATGGGAAGGTAAAGGTAATCAAAGTTTCCTTACCAATTTCAAAAATCCTTCTAAAATGAAAACATAATCAAGGTAATATACATATGCAGCAAATCTTGAGAGTTAGGTTGGGTTTGTTCATCTATCTTGATAAATCATATAATGTAGCAGTCACTGATAGTATTACTCTGTATGGAATGGCCAATGAAAAGTGCCTGTGTGAGAAATAGTCAAGATAATGGCGTCAACAGGACAGAGCAGATTGACGTACAATAGTGCTCAGAACAAAGTCACCAAAATACTATTTTCATGAAAACTGGGAATATCTTTGGGTACAAATGAAGTGAATTCTTTATTTTTTCTTCGAAAGTTGCTGCTTAACTGTGCAACTATTCCAGAGTATTGCCAAGTACTGTATGCAGTGCATTACAAAATCGTATAAAAAAATGCTATAGATTAAAGTATGCCTATTTGTTTTTGCTCTATCTCCCTATACCCTGTATAAAAATAAACATAGTTCTGTGGTTATCTTTACCCATAATCCCTAAAATATCACTTTCAGTATATGTTGTGTACAGTTAGTCTATTTTGATATATGGTACACAGTACTCAGTCTTAATTTGTACCTTCAAAATAATTAGAATTGTTTCATAGTTTACGTCTTACAACCAAAATTTTTTTCGCACTGAGCTTAGGCTCCATATACATAGTTGTACAGTACCTTTCACCATACCCATATGCAGTATTTTCACCATACCCATATAGTATACAGCAAGATGCATCTTGAGAAATTTCATGAAAAAGGTTACCACAACAGAAACCCTTACTTGTGTATTATTTCCAGAATTCCCAGGTTTTAGCCATCATACCAAACCTGTTCACTGGAAAACCAATAAAAAAGGAAGAGCTTTCATAGCTAGGTACCCCGCTTTCACAAGTTATGTAGTGTTTATACGTATTTGTTATCTTGGCAATGTTCCATGTGTGGTTTTGCATTATGGATATAATAATGTCACAGCAAATAACAATACAAGTATAATACCATGTGTCTCCACTAAACGTTCAATGTTGTATATAGAAATTGAGGAAAATATACCTACCTAACCTTCACTTCTACTTTTTTTTATAACCGAGGCAGAATCAGACAAGGAAATAGAAAACTATTGGGTAATACACTAAATACTGTACATGAAACTAATTTTATAGGTGATACTTCTCATTAAAAGTACATCAAAACTACTAGCTTAGTGTTGCCCTTCGTAAGGTACAATACTGTAATATCTCTGAAATTGTCAGCATCCAAATTTCTTTAAAACAGATGAAAAGACAACCCTTCAAGGTATGACTTCACATTTAACACATCGATTCTAGTATTAACATTACTTGCTCACCAATGGATTTGTTTCTGTATAAAAAATACATCCTCAAAATTCTGACAAAAATAGCCCAAGAAAAAAAGTGGCTACCCTCTAATTCGCATTTCCCATCAACTCACAATGCCTAGTTAAACTATACAATACAAATATTAAAATCCCTATATGCTAAAAGGCCTGGCTTGAGATAACTCATAATTTAGAATGATTGAGCTACTTTCCCTACAGGTAAACATATACCGGTAATTAAAACTGGAATGACTCTTTGGGTACCAGAATGTATCCAGTGACGTTGTGAACATACTTGTCTCCTCATTAATTACATATTCACTAGATATATGAAGCCATCTATTCAGTTTATCTCATACATTGGGTTTTCAACAGAAGGAAATAGATTCGTCATATTTGAGTGATTAAAACTTTCTCACAAGTGACCTTAAATACCACACGATATTTAACAAAATTACTTGTTAACCTCAGAATAGTCTTATAACTGGACCTCAAATCACATAAAAAGACGAAGGAATATTGACCTTGTAATGACCAATAGGGTGTAAGCCTAAACTCAGCCCCACCCACCTTGTGTTCAATCTCATTTATTTACGTTCATCAGGTTAAACAGGAGTACATTTGTCCTGACAGTTAGTCTCAAGAGTAGAGTAGCTGTCAATATAATACTAGGAAAGGTCATTTAGAGGTGTGACTGTGTACCGTGAAACAAGTGCACACACCAAAACAAACCCAGCAGCTTACCTCCAGAATGTATTTTAGCTGAATATTTTCATAATTATTCCATGCTTCATCAGCTGTTGCTTGGTCTAAATTTAAATCAAGAGAAAGATCATTATATTTTCTCTTTACACTGGAGTGTATATCAATTTCACTCATGTTTAGCCTACTAAATCTTGCCACAATCACATTCCCGCCTGAGTGAGCGGCTCCACTAGAGTGAGCTGAGCCTGGCGTGTGGCGGGAAACACGGGCCGCGCTCTGCCTCCCTCCTCCGCCACTCAAGGTAGAACCTCCCTTAAACACTTTAATGTTTCTTTACGACAACAACAACACATTTTTGGTGGATTAAAAAAAACATATAATAAATATGATACATTTTCTACTGCAAAATATATACGATTACTTATTTCTACCACATTTGGATATCATAGCGTCTTACGTGGCGGAACAATATTAAAGTCCATGTGTTTTGGCGGGAAAGTGTTGAGGGCGAGCGTCGGCGGCCCGCCTCCCTTATTTACAAACACGACGGCCAGGATTTACCCAAACCAACCTGCGGTTGCCCCTTTAAATACAAATTTATAACCGTTTTTGCTAGAATACGCTTTGCCTTCCCTTCGTCAGCTTTTGTAATTGGAAAGTTTATTAGTTAACGAACTATAGTAGTTGGTTTTATCTTGTAGAGTCTTGTAGACAATCATCGATATTAAGAATAACTGCCGCAATTTCCTAGCTTGTTAATTCCCCTAAATACAAGACATTTATTTATTGAAGCTGCTGAGCTGTCACCATAGTGAACCAACTACGAAAATACTTTCATTGTACTGAAATAATTTGATGCCTGTTATTAAAGCAAATACTAATATAAAGTCCCCAGCTTACATGTGTATCTAAATCATGACTTGGCTTATTAAATGGCCTATTAGTGATGCACAGTACATAATTATGTAGTCTAAGCTGTAGTTATTACAGATTTCTTTTCCTGACTAATATCAGTGTCGTGCTTACAGTATATGCGACATAAAACTATGTAACAAAATAAGGTTACCTCATCGAGAAAGCACGCAGCTTTATCATCAAATAAAATGTAACTATTAGTGAACGAATTTGTGGAAAATTACAATTAATACAAGTCTGGTATTCAGTTTAAACCAATGTGCAGTTTGTAAGAAGAAAACAAATTTAATAGTAAAAGTTTTAAGAACGAATTTCCTTATAGGGAAAAAAGTTCCACCGACCTTGTGCGCTTGGTGGTATAGCTCTGATTTCCCCCAAGGCGTATTTTGTGTCGTGGTGACCGCTGAGATTACGTAAGTTTTAGCCGTTGTTGACCCTCAAACATCTTACCCTTACCCCACTTCCCTCCCTCTTATCCCTCCCGCCCTCTCTTTTTCCCGCTTTCTCCTCTCCCTCCTTCGCTTTGTCTCATTCTATCTTTCTTTCTCGCGCCATCCCTCTCTATTTCGCTCTTCCTTTCCTTTTCTTGTACTGTATAAATTTTCACATCCGCTCTTTTCCACTCCTTCCTTTCCCTCCCTTTCTGTGCCACTCTCCCTCTCCCTTCCTTCCCCCTCTAGAGCTCGCCTCGCTACACTTGACTCGCCCCTTTTTCATCGTACAGCGACATTATTTAAGACATACGTGTTTCCGTAATAACCAATCTCTTTGCCAGTGCTCGACGCCATTCTAAGTGAATCGACGTTGAAACAAAAGTGAAAGCCTAATTTTTATTCATTAATGTCCTCTCAAACTACTTCACATCAATCACGTATGTTCTAGAATCTAGAACAGTGCATTATAGATAAACATAATGATAGACAAATAAGATTGATAGTTGAATAGATAGATCTTCATCCACTGTTAACGGTTTTCTTGGGCTATCTTTAGTTGAACAGGCTTACCCACGGCTTTCCATTGTCCGTACACCAGCACAGAAAATTATCGGGGGAAACATTTTTGGAGTGAGAGTTGTGAACTCTTGGAATAGTCTGCCCGAGAGTGTTGTGACGGCATCGAATGTAAGCTCATTCAAGATCAGACTTGACCAACTCTGGCCCGGAGGACCGCAGGTACAGATACATTCTGGAGCCAGTGGCGCTACGACAACAATTGTGAGTGTTGGAAAATAGTGAATGTCGTTATCTGCTTATTTCTTGTCACTTTCTTATCCATTGTTTACGATTATATGTTTGCATTTCCATCCTCATCTTTCTCTCTATCTCCTTTCCTTCGTCCAATTTCCTCTCCCCCTCCCGCTTCATTCTCTTCTTTCTCCCTCTCCTACACTCCTCTCTTTATCCCCATCTCTGTCCTTTTCCAACCCCCTTTCTCTTTCATTCTCCCGCTTCACCCCCCCCCCTTTTTTTTTGGCAAACTGAGAGTAGTAATCATGTTTCCCATGCATACTGACCACCACTACTACTACTACTACTACTACTACAACTGTCAACACCGCACTGACCCTCCCCCTTCACCCCTCGACCAATATAAACTAGGGTCCGAATTCTCAAACATTCGTACCTTAATTTTTTCCCCCCAACATGGGACAAGAGAACGCGTCCAGTTATGGGAGAATCTTATACAATAGACCGATTTCCAGTTGCGCTTCGTCTGGGCGGATGGAAATAGCAACTAGGCCGATGTCATTTGTTCCTCAAAACATATTGCAAATTTTTTTTCTAATGCTTCATGTTAAATTTTCTATTTTATTTTAGGGGAAATTAATTTTATAATTCTAAAAAAGTTTGCAAGGAAAGGCGAATGAAAAATATACATTCGATAACGTAGAAAGTATAAAGTATATTGTTTCTAAAATGTAACACTACAAATTCACATTGATATTTTTTTACCCAATTTACCAAGTCTCCCTAGGTTTGAAATTTACACAGCCTCCTTTGCTTTGTACTGTATCATTACTAAACCTACAGAGAGTTTTAGTTCTCATAGTCTTTTAAATGTTGTTAGAATAGTGTAATTACTATCCTTGTTTCGCGCTTATAGACCTTCGTTGTTGAAGTGCAATAATAACATAACAACCAGGGCCGGATTTACCAATAGGCCAAGTAGGCCATTGGCCTAGGGCCCACCGGTATCTGGGGGCCCACTGAAACTAATTTGTCGAGCAGCGTGCCAGCGTATAACCTTGTTTCAAGTGTACAGTACACCGAGTATTTCATTATATAATATATTCACAACCATAAGTATGGGGCCCCTGTACAATAAGTATAGGCCCGCAGTGGTCTTCAACTGGTGGGCCATGGGGTGGGCCACGGACTAGGCCCTATAGTAAAATGAAGAAAATAAGATAAAATAAGATAATAAAAAAATCTATACATTTTTTAAATGTCCGTGTCTCACCATCAATCTATCTATCTATTTATCTATCTATCTATACATACATATACAGTATACTGGAGAGAGAGAGAGAGAGAGAGAGAGAGAGAGAGAGAGAGAGAGAGAATAAAGTTCAAGAAACCTTCAGCGCCTTGACGTGTGAAGGACAGGATCGTTTCACGTTCTGTACGTGTCAGGGTTACCGTTGGTTTGCTGCAGGGTTGGATAAAATACTGATTTTTAGCGGTCAAATACAAATACAAATACTTGTGACATTATGATGCAAAAATAAAAATACTTTTTTCTTTAATTCAAAAATACAAATATAAATACAAATACTTCTGAAATGAAGATGTAAAAATACAAATACAAATACTTTTATTTCCAAGTTCAAAAATACAAACCCAATACCTACATATCAGAATTACATTTTATCATCATTAATGCCCGGAAGATTTCTGGGCTCAACTCAGCTCGCTCAGGAGTGTAAAAATTACCAGAATGTTCAATGTTTCTGCTTGCAGATAACAATAGCAGTAATAAAAATAAACAAAATTACAAAAAAAAATCAAGTGTTTTCGTCCTCACAAATTGTCTGTAAGTAGCAATACAAAATATAATTTTTTTCTTTGTTTATGGAAGAGGCAAAAGGCAGTAGCCTTAAACTAGCCTATTGCCTGTAACACTATCAAGTGTCGAAATACAAATACAAATACAAAATACTTTTTCTTCTGGGTGCCAAAATACTTACAAATACAAATACATTGAAAATGTATTTAAATACAATTAAAATACAAATACAATTGTATTTGATCCACCCCTGGTTTGGTGACAGCTCGCTCAGCCAGTCAGTATCTTCTCAGCCTCAGCTTGATGAAATAGAAGATCAGGCGAGGGCTTTTGCTGAGTCTGTCTACACAGAGACAACAAAAAGAACAAAAAAGAGAAAACATTTCTTTGATGAATCAGTTGGCACTGAAACTCAACTTGATCCACGTGAGAAGTTCAAGGTGGACAATTTCTACACCATATTAGATTGCCTTAGGAATGAATTCGAGCAGAGTGAATGCATACTCAGAAATAAAGAAGCTGTTTAGTTTCTTAACGGAGTATGACAGTATGAAATATGATGATCTCAAAGCCCAACTGGAATTGGTTGTCAGTACCTATTACAGTGACATGGAAGCATCTGTTCTAGATGAGTTTTTGCAATTTAAAGACATTTTGTCTTCTGAATCTAACAGGTCAGTGACAAACATCTCCACTTTGCTGAGGTCCAAAGATGGTATTTTGAAAACTGCCTTTCCAAACATTAGTATCTTGGTAAGAATTTTCCTTACCATCCTCATTACAAATTGTGAAGGAGAGAAGTTTTTCTCTACTCTATCTAGGGTGAAAAATCACCTGAGGTCTACCATGGGACAAACCACAATAAACTCACTTTCATTATTATGCATTGAATCTGGCCTCCTACAATCCCTTGACACAAACAGTATCATTGACAAATTTTCCATGAAAAAAAGTAGGAAGAATTTATTTTGAAATTCACACAGTTTGCTGTGCTTCATGTGTTTGCAAAATTGATTATGCTTCAAGTTAATTGTATTTCTTTCATTATTCCCATATATAAGATGTACATGATATAGAACTAATTTGATTAAAAGTAATGTGTCACATTGTGTTGAAATTCTTATTTCCTACATTATAATATTATGATATTATGTAATATTTGATGACATTTGGCCATTGCAAAATAGTTACAGTGATATATATATATATATATATATATATATATATATATATATATATATATATATATATATATATATATATATATATATATATATATATATATATATTGATTATTGAAACATGCAAACATTTCTATAAATTTGGGGGCCCACTGATGAGTTT